GACTGATGGAGACTGAAGAGATATGATAAATAGGTACAGTGTGACACTTAAGATTAAATTCTTTTTATGCTAAAGACATCATTTGGCCTGTTGGTGAAACCTATTTAGGTAAAAGGAATATAGGAGTTAGCTGACTGTTTTCACTCTTTTGCAGGTTTGAAATTATTTCAAAATAAAGAGTAAAAAAAAGGTCCATTAAAAAACTGTCTAAAATTTAAATACAAATAAACAACCTCTCAAATAGTAAATACATGCAAAATGTTTATTCCTTCTGCAATGCAATGTAAATTAGTGTCTTATGTTATCCTTTTATACCTGACTGGTTTTTGCTGTAGTCATTTGTTTATCTATACGTACGTTGGTTTGTTTTGTAATATGATAATTAGATAGGGTTTAACCTTTACTTTGTTTGCTAAGCATTGTTACGTAAAGAAATTGATTAACTCATAATCCTTACAAAAACTATAAAGAAGATTCCATTATTTATTTTATCCACTTTACAGGAGCGGTCAAAGCTTAGAGACCTCAGCAGCTTGCCTGAAGTTCCGTAGCCAGTACACGGCAGAAGCGGGGACGGACCCAGGCAGCCTGACTCCTGTACTTTAACCTCCGTGATACACTGCTTTGCATCTTCACACAGGGCTGAGGTACTGAAACCTGCTACCATCCTTTTGAAGAGCAATTAAGGCCATGCCAACCCCTATAGTCATCAACAAGAAATTGCTGAGAATTATCCAAAGGAAAGCTATATGCAGAAGAGAGAAAACTGCATCTATAAAGATGCTCTCTATATGTTCTCTATATTAGAACTTTTAAAATAATCAATAGGGAAATGGTTAATTTTGATTAACTTGATGGGATATTCTACAATCACTTAAAAATTGATAACTATGGAGAAATATCGAAAATAGGTATATGTTAATATTAATAAAATACTAAGGTAAAAATGCAAAGTATTTGTGTACTTGAAAATATGTAAAAATTGTGTGTGCTTAAAAGTAAATTAAAAACTAAAATTCAAAAACAGTAGTTGCTGTTACAAAGTCATGGGGATAATTGGTGACTTTTTTTTTTTTTTCTTTTATATATTTTCATGGTGTCTACAACAAAAACAGAAATCAAACACTACCAAAACATATCCATTAACAAACATCTAGAAAGTGATGCAAGGATTCTTTTCCTACTTTTCTCCAAGCCTCCCTTTGGAGGAGACTGATGGCGATCATGTCCATTTACATGGAAAGTTGTTAAATTTGTCAAAAGCAGATAACAAAGTACTATAAATCTTGTGATTTAAGATAATTTAACACACACATCCAGATGGACATATGCTGCAACATCTATTGTGGCTGTCTCTAGGTGGTGAGGTGTAGGGGATTCTTTCTTCTTCTTTATACCCTTATTAAACTTAGTGTTATTAATACACCTGTGTCCATTTATAATAACCTTTTAAAAAGACTTGGGTAGGTAAATTATTACTAAATTAAAATACTTTAAAATAACAGTCTCAGCAACTGACTCTATGATTTCATCAGAAAAAACAGGACAAGGGGAAGAGCTGAGGGAGGGAAGGAGGGAAGGGGCAAGGAAAAGAGGTGTGGGGGAGGCAGAGACAAATATATTTAAAAAGTAAATAAATTTAAAAAAATAAAAGAAAAGAAAAAAAAAGAAAAAACAGGACAGTTTTCTCATATCATTTATTTTATAGAGTTCACTAATTCTGCTCCTTTGGTTAGACTTATCAACAATTATATCTCATAGTCCAAAAATGATTGAGGATATACTAATCTATAGTTTATACATAAGCCCAATGCTTATATATACAGAACACTGACCAATGAAATCATATCGAGAAAAAAATTCCATTCATAATGACTTTCTTACAAGGATTTAAATGTACTTTCCTCAAATAATATTTCTTTCTGTGAACTTTAGAGTCTAACAGAAAAATACAAGCTTAGAAAATCAGTCACATTCCATAGCAACAGAATGATAAGAAAAATAATCCTAAATTGTTAGATATAAATACTTAATGTTAGCACCCAAAGATAAATTTACTTTTATTAATAATTTTTAATACATTTTAAATATTTCATTAAAAAAGTAAATAAAATCTTGAAATCTGAATATGCTATGATGTTGAAAAGAAAAAAAAAACCCCAGAGATCAGAAGTCAGAAAAAAAAGAATAAACAATTAGAAAAGCAGCAAAAACGAGAGTCAAAGTTTAAAGGCCCTTACGGGGAAAAACAATTAATTCCATGATACAAAGAATTCAATGATAAGCAAATTTTAAGCCTAGCATAATCAAGAAATGTTCATAGGAAAAGATAATGACAAAAGTTAAGTAATAATACATCTGCTAGAAGGCCAGGGCTATTAGGGAGGAAAAGAGAATGGTTACAGGGTATAGCAAAAAACAGTTACATTCCAAATTATTAACTGAAATTTTTAATAATTAGAAGGGATTTCATCTTTTAGGTATGGTTTTAAAATGTAGGCCTGCTATGAACATGTAGGGTTCTGTGAACATTTTGTATATTCTATCACATGAGTGAGAAAAGCCCTAACCATTAGAGAACAGATCAATATTTTTGCCATCTCAAATGTGGTTGCCTAAAATTGAGATCATGATGCTCAATCTCCTGGCGTAAGTGTGACGCAGGGAGAACTCATCCTATTTTTCTTCGCCTTGTGAGTTATTCAGTGGCACACAGAGGCAATGAAGACCTGCTCTCCCTAAAGTTTGCTCTCTTCTGTCTATGCCAGGCATGATTTTTATCCTCTAAAGCCATTTTTTCCTCAAAAGAGCTCACCAAAGTTGTCATCCTTCCTATCAGCGGCTCCACTGGGCTCGGGTGAATGACATCCAGACATTTAAACTCAAAAGCTGCTTCAGAAGGGAGTTATTAAAATTCAAATGAGCTGGGCATATTGAAGAAGAAAACACTCCTTTGCATGCACACCTCCGCATTTGGTCATCCCTTTTAGCCCCATAGAGCAGGGTCTGGTTTTGTTTTTGTAAATGGGCTTCGGAGACCGAGGTCAGCCTCCCACGGCCCCCACTCCTCTGGGTCATCATTAGTAATGTGTAAGGCTGAATAGATTTTCTTCTGAATCTAGTCTGCAAACCTGACAAGAAGGCAGCCCTCTCCCACAACCTGAAAATACCAAAAATCCTATTGATAATAGGGCATTTTTAAATACTTCATTTATCTGTTTTAAAACAGCGTTCAGGAAGACTGCATATAATGTCACTAATGCCAGCCCCCCAATTTTTCATTTTACAGAACATTTCCTGTTGTGCTGTGACTGCGTAACCATAAAAATGTTACATATAACTAAAAATTTCCCACAGGATTCAGAGAAAATTCATTTCTGCCAAGAAATATGGATCTGAGAAGCCAAATGACATTTTATTCACTAGAAAGAGCCTATCTTTCATTTGACCTTAAGATCTTTTTTTTTCTCGTGGAAGTGACCTTACATTATCATCATTTAAATTTTTATAAGATCCCTGGCTGGTGTGTCTTAGTGGACTGAGTGCCAGCTTGTGAACTGAGGGGTCAGTGGTTTGATTCCCAGTCAGGGCACATGCCGGGGTTGCAGACCAGGTCCCCAGTTGGAGGCGCATGCGAGGCAACCGCATATTGATGTTTCTCTCCCTTTCTTTCTCCCTCCCTTTCCCTCTCTCTAAAGGAAAATAAATATTTAAAAAAATAAAAATTTTATAAGATATTAGTGAGCAATCTAACAAAAAAATTGAACAAAAATGTATATCCCTAGAATTATTCTAGACATGGAAATTTTAAGTGCTCTTTTAGTGAAAATTTAATTTCTTACTAGTGAAGACATCTCTATTTATAATATCTACTTTAAATATACTTGATTTATGGCACTGTAAACAACTCCATATCATATACAACAATGATAAGAACCGTGTATCAGTTTCCACTGAGGATATGGAAAAGAAAATCATGCTAACTCACGACTCTAGGATAACAGCAGAATTTCTAGAATCCCAGAAACTAAAGGAATTCATCTCCAAACTATGAAGTAATTTATAATCTGGAAGCTCCAGGGATTACTGTTCCCAGTGGGAACTCAGGCGATGTGACATTTAATATTCCTTTCAATAATAAGATTTTATTCTTCCACAACCTTCATTAATCAGATTTCTTCATTTTCATTTGTTTAAAAACTTTTTTCCCCCCTAAAATTGGGATGGCCTTATAATACAGGCACTGGTTTTACCCAGACTGGCTTAAGCAGCCTGAGGAAGAATGAAACTAGCAAATATCAATGAAAGATTATTATATGAATGAAACTGGCTCCTGAGCTGTGGCATGTTCAGTTCGAATCCATCTTTTTCTCCCAGCAATGAAGATGATATGTATATCATTAAAGAGTATTTATTTAATAACATATATGGCATTATTCTGGCTCCAGTTAAAACAAAAGGCACTCAATCTCAGTTTTCAGACTGCTTGTGCTCTAATGTGGTGACAGCAAGAAAGAGCACATAGGGAAAAATGTTTGCAGAGAGAAAACATAAGCTAAAAATAAATGCCAGAGCCAGTGATTCCAACAGCACAGGGCGATCATACAAGTTTCAGGGTGAAGACCCACTTCCAAGCCAGGTCCTGAAACACAAACTGCACCCAGGTCTGTTTTCTCTTTTTAGGTCACACTCACTTAAAACTGACAAGAAAAATAATGGGTGCTTATACTTTTGAAATAACCAAATGGAAGATTAAGATCTTCACAGAGCCCCCTCAATGTCAGAGATGGTGATTCCAAAAGACTACACAGTGTGTAAGTTTCATGGACCGCTTTATGTAGTTGGGATCCTGATCATCTCTGTTGCAAAGACGGTATAGTAGAAGAAAATGTTCAACCCTTCAGATTTGTGCCGTTTAATCTCAGACGCATGCCCAGGGCACACAAACTTACTTAATATGTAGAAAAAAATGATAAAATGTAAGAAATGTGTTTACTTGCCTTTTTTCCCTCCTGTAATGAAGAAGCCAATGGCTGCTCTAATAAAACTGCTTTCAGGCAAATAGCTATAGTCAGTAGGAACTGTGGAGACAGAAAATGATCAAATTAACCAATGAACTTGGAGGGACTAATGAAGGAGAGATAATGATCTCATGCTGCCATATCAACCGAGAGACAAATCAGAGACATTTATGCCATTAATCTCAGCACAATATTCTGTGCTGCAACTAATTCTATTAAAGTGACTGGCCTTGAAGTAATCACTTAGGTTATGCAAGCTATCTAAAATGGTAGTAAACCTAGTAGAAGTTGAAAACCACAGAGGATGAAAATCTTACTGAAGCAGTTAAAAAAAAAAAATTCCTTCCCACATTGTCACATCAATGAGCCCCAATTCTGTGACCTCCTTAGTGTCCTCAAGGTATCTGCTGGGCAAGACCACCATTCTGGGAACTACTTCAACACATGCTGGATCAGATATATGAGCCATGAACTATAACAATCAGCATTAATAGCAACCAGTCTCTTACTTCATAAGGCAGGGACCTCTAAGTGACCAACATGTACAAATAACCAGATGTTGCTGACCTGGAACAGCGAGGCAGTGACATTTATGCTCATTGAGTCCTGGGAGTTTCCTAGATTCTTTCCCTCCCGGTCCCCCATAATTGTTGCATGAGATGGTTTTTACTGCAATAAATGGCTCAATTGGAAAATTCCATCAGAAATAAGTAGCCGTACTTTTCCAGACATACAATCATTTGTTCCAAAGAACCTGAGTGTAGGGTGATTCACTGTGACCTGACCTAAGGATATGTGGGTCAGACCATGTAGCCCCTAACATTTAAAAGCCTATATAAAAAAGCAAAAGCCTGATACAAGCATGCTGTTCTACCAGGACACTGTGAGAGCACTGCCCTTCAAAACCTGCACTACCAAGCGCTTCCTCTGATGACTAAGTTTGGTTTTTTTTTTTCCTCTTCCCCATTTTAATATGACAGATTCCAGCTGTCTAAAGTTCATTACGTTGGGAATGCTGTGGAATAATGTCCTATTTCTGTAGCTAAGGAGTGACTGAAAGTGAGGGAGACAGTAATTACAGGGGCCCATGTTCATGGTAATGCTGTCCACAGACTACCTGTCAAGGGATGTGTGAAACTAGATTTTAATGAGGAATCTTTGGTGCCTAAACCTCTCTGGCCTGTGTCCAAGAGAGCCAGTGGGTCAAAATTTTATAAAGAACACAGAACAGATACTGGTCCCACTACATTACAGTGATGTCTCCCCAGAAAATCTTCAAGTGCAAACATAAATTAAGCATATAGAAATTGCGAATATTCCTTATTGCTTGTTATTAAAAAATGGAAATAGAAAAAGCCTTGTTATATTAAGACCTAGGACTTCAGTGTCAGCCAATGAGATACACAACTTTAAATGCACTTACTCCATTATTTTCTCAAGAGCAGGAGCAAGGAGAACTCCAGCCATATATGAAGAGATTTTTAATGAAATACAAGTGGTATACAAACCATGATTATTACATCTAGTAAAATAAAAAGAACTCTGTTCCAAGCTTTAAGGACCTGGTTCTTTTTTCTGGATTTGTCACTAAACTAACTCTGTATGTAAGTTAGGTAATCTTTCTGAGCCTCAGGTTTTTCATCTGTAAAATATGAGCTTAGACGCAATTTCTACACTGTTTTCTAAGGCAGAACAGACAAGTGAGAAGAGCATGGGCTTTGGAGGCTGACAGATCTGAGTTCAACTGGTGCCCACCACTAACTACCATGTGACTCCGGATAGGTCACGAAGCCTTTCCATGGCCCATTTCTTCTGATGTAAAACAGGTATGGGAATACCCACACCCATCACTTAGGATTGTAGTGATGATGCTCTTAAAAAAGTACATAGCTCCACGTCTGCAATCCCTCCTTCCAGCTATAGTGTCCTATGGCTGTAATCTTACCAGAGGTTCTACTTTGATTTGAGGACAGAGTAGATAGGTGAAGATGTCCTAGAAGCCAGATTGCATTGGACTGAAGACCAATCACCCCAGACACACTGATGACCTGCGGGTGAAAATATAACCATTCAGTGATACGTCATGATTCAAACTCCATTCAATAAAAGGCCACTCACAGAAAGTCACTGATTTTTTATGAGATGGTGGCTTGTCTGGTAATGAGAAGTTCTATGTCTAGTGTATTGAATCTCGGTCATATAGGTGATTAACAAGTGTTGCTGAATCAATCAATCAGACAAACAACTGATGATAGAAGAACATATTAGTGCCTGTGTCAGGTATCACTGAGTCAGACTGGTCTCAAAGGATATTCAAAAAATGGAAAAGAAAATCCAAAAGGTAAAAAGAGGTGATAGTTTCTTAGGATTAAAATACTCCTAAAAATGGAAGGAGATATTTTGTTCTCTTCTTTAAATATTGTTCTATTATGTTTGATCATCCATAATAAGCATTTTTAAAATAGTTTCAAGTATAGGTTTTTCCACCCAAGTTATAGAACTTAAGCTTAAGTAGATTTTTTTTTGAGAATACTCATATTTATACATGAAAAAGATTATTTCTTCTGTTCAGAAATTTGTTTTCCTTTAAAAACATGAATTACTGAAACTTCTTTAGGTGTTATAATCAGCTATATTTTATAAGAAGAAAACAAGTATGTTAAGTAAAAAAAACTACAAAGTTCTCTATGTAATAAGAATACCAACTTTACAAAAAAAAAAATGCTTGAAAAGAAATATGACCAAATATTAGAAGCAGTTGTTTCAGGGTGGGAGGACCAATAGTGATATTTTTTCAGCTTCTTCCACTCTGTCTGGGCCTTCAAATTTTATGCTTCAGTAAACATATATTTTTTTAAAATAAAAACCTTAAGATATAAAATAATTTCTCAGCACATAAATATGTTTATTCGTCAGCCAAGGATAATGCTGACAACGATTTCCTCAAATACTTTTACCAGGGACATCTGAACTACTGCCACTTGACCATGCAGCTTGGAAATCTGCCCTGCCCTCTGATCACCTTTCATTTGCCAGTGTCCTCAGGGCCTGACATTCCTTGCAGTGTTGGGTTTTAATTTTTAAGGGAAACTAATGCCAATTTAAGTTAACTCAAAATGCCAACTTTCTTTTTTTCCAGAGGCAGTGCATGTTTGTCAGCAAATGCAGGGGCATAAACCACTTCCACGTGCCTGTGAAACTCACCATCAATAACCTGAGATTTTCTCATTTTCCAGGTAAAACAGTTTGTATCATGAAAGAGAAAAAAGACAGAGAGGAGAGTTTTCCCACTGAAGGGTTTTATTCAATAAATTCTTCTTCTCACCTGTGTTAAGGTTCTAATGACTTCATTAAGTCTGGCTTGGAAATGAGAGCTCTGGATGGCTTCTGACTTCAACTGAAAGAAACACAGGAAATATCCACTCCAGCATCCCCCAAAAAGTCAATGATGATATTCCTAGTATGAGCTGCCACCTTCTAAACTACAGAATAATTTATCATTATGTCCTTATATTTCTTTCTTTTTCTTTTTTTTTTTTTGTCCTTATATTTCAAACACAAAGGCCGTGCGCTCTGTGAGAGCAGAGCCCATGCTTTATTAATCGTTATCAGTGTGGCCTGTAGCAGCCACTTAAGAATCTTTACTGTATATACAAAGGAACTTCTTAGAATTACTTGTAAACTTATGCATATGTATATCGATTATGGAAAACATTTTAAAGTGAAAAAAATTTTTCTTAGACACTGACTTAAATGTTACAGATGCAAAATGGAGTTTCTTATGAATGACTTCTAAAGTTTCCTAAGATTCAGTCACTTTTCTCAGGCAGGGAACTTGGTGGAGAATACTGAAGTTGACTATGTTTAATCCTTATAAACCAAATAAAATAAGGAAAAATCTTTATGCAACGAATTCTCAGCAAAGAACAATTTTCCATACATTAAGTCACTGCAAAGCCCAGTATAGCCATTTTCATGAGCATATATTCTTCTGTCTTTAGCATACTGAGATATTAGGTATCCTGCTCTTGTTGTGGCTATGTACACATTCAGATTTCTTTTTTTATTTTTTATTTTTACCTGCATTACATCCCCTTCAGAGCCTACCAAGGCCACCATGCCATGAAGAGCTGCCAAGCAAAGCATTGTGGATGTGCCCTGAAAACAAAGAATAAGTCAAAAGGGAAATAGTCCCTGGGATTGAACTCTATTTAGACTTATTATATCACAGAGAAATAAGTGGTCAAAATGGTACTACATTTTTAGGGTCAGCATAACCTGTATCACTGAACCAAAAATGGCCTTAGACTTAAATGAAGCAACAAGTTATAGTTGTTAGATCATAGGTGGCTTCTTGTTTTTTATTTATCAAAGCCATAATGTTTTAAAATTAAGACACTGACCAAATAACCAATTTTTTAAAAAAACTGTCATAGTTGACAGGACATATTGTTCATAAGGGTTGAAAAATAAATGTTTCTCTTTTGTTTGAAATTGTCTTTTTTTATTGTTAAGCTATATACCTGAGCAACTCCTATAAAATGGTCCAATTAAGTAATGCTTTCTCCTTTATAAAAAAATAAAGCAACATGCAGGAGGTGACCTTTACCTCTGCTAACACAGTTCTGATCCAGGCAGGGAGCAGCTTGTTGCCCAAATCTTCAGCTTTTCCATGTCCACACACGGACAAACCATGAATGATGTTTCCTAATGCCAAGGCAAAACCGGAAGTCTGTTATAAATAAATAGAAACAAGGTGTAAGGAAAAAAGAAGAAGAATGGCATAGATTGGGAATTTTTACATATAGCAGCACAAGCACTTCTAGGGGCTCCCTTTTCTACAGACAAGTTTGTTTTTTTTTTCCATCTGAAAATCAGAGAGGGCAGATTTTTAAAATGTTGAGTTTGGTTTGCAACAGAAACTATAGTCTAATTGCAAGGAATTAAGCTGCAGTGAGTGATACAGTTGAGGAAAATAACCCTGCGCTATTGAGCAACTTGGCTCAAATGATCAACATTCTAAGGGTTAGGATGAAAATACCAAAATAGATCGCACAAGCTCAGTCAGCTCCCAAACAAGAAGAAAAAATGCCTCATACTGAGCATTGTATATGTGAACTTCTACATTTTGGTGTTGCAAAACCTACTGTAAGTAATCAGGCATTTAATCATAAAGTAGCAACAATAGCAAACAATTAAGCTTAAAACCAGTGAATTCTGAAATAAATCAACATGGTCGATATTAAGAGTTCAGAGAAACCTTTAAAAAATGAAGTACCGCCACTGTCAATGGGGAAATTCTAAAGCATGTGTAATCAAATAGAACATTTGTTTTTCAATTTTTTAAAACTGTGGTAAAATACATATAATATAAAATTTACCACCTTAATTATTTTAACCCAGCAGTTCAGTGGTATTAAGTATACTCATATTGTTGTGCAACCGTTGCCACCGTCCATTTCGAGAACTCTTTTCATTTTGCAAAACAAATTTTGTTCCATTAAACAATAACTCTCCATTCACACTCCTCCAACTCCTGAAGAGCACCAGTGTTCTACTTTCTGACTCTATGAATTTGACTACTCTAGTTACTTCATATAAATAGACTCATAGTATGTGTCTTTTTGTGATTGTTGCTTAGCATGATGGCCTCAAGGTTCAGCCCTGTTGTAAGATGGGATTTCCTTCCTTTTTAAGGATGAATAATATTTCATAGGCAATATTTAAGGGTATTAATTTAATTTAAATTTTCATTTAATTTAAATTTTCCTATACCTATTCAGTCATGAGTAGAGATTCTTTGCCTTGAATCTCCAAGGGTTTGACCTTATCAGAATCCTCTATGTATGCATATTGAAAAGCCTTTGTCTTCTCTCAGACACAGGGGATAAAGAGAGAAAAAGACACCTGTGATGGTTGGCTACAGCTGCGAGAAAAGAGAATAGTTAGAAGTTCCTGAGTTCTGGGTATGAAAAATATCCCATTATACTCTAATCAGAGTAAGTCAAAATTAGGGCTTAGAAGCAGCATGAGGCCCATAGAGAGAAATAATCAGGGCACGCATTCCAACCTGCTGGTTGTTCTCTACCAACAGTCGAAGCTTGTTCATAATGTCTTCAGCCTCTGCAGCTTCAATGATTCCAGCGCTGAATGCTGATGTACACACACAGCTAAGGGTATAGGCAAGGACCTAGAAGGGAAGACAGCAGGAAAATATTTCTTCATGAGGGAAAATAAAAGAACAAGGTTTAGTTGACGCAAATATTTGGTCAAACTTCTCCCCAGGATAAGAACTGAATTCAAATATACCTACCGCAGACAGGCATTGTTTTGCTGACCACTCTGTATTTCCTAACAATGTTATGAGATGGGAGTCATTATTCCTACTTTATAGAGAAGGACATTGAGGCTCAATTACACAGAGTTAGCAGGTGACAGAGCTGACATTCAAATCAGGTCTTAAGACTCTAAACCAAAAAGTTCCCTCACCAACTCTGAATATACCATCCATAAACAGCAGAGGCAGATTTTCATCACAGTGGATGTTACTAATTGACACACGCTCCCATCCAAGGGCAAACAGCATAGGAAATAGAAACACCACTACATTAAAATTCCACAGTGGAAATAGTACAATATGATGGACCACAACTGTGGATTTTAGAGTCAGATAAATTATGTAAAATAGAGATGATACTACTTACTTCATAGCACTGTAGGACAATTTAATAAGTGAATGAATGAATGAATGAATGAATAAATAACTGAATAAATTACAAATAAAAATGCTGGGAATAGAAACAGAATACTCAGGTATAAGTTCCAAATTCACCATTTACTGGCTAAGTAATGATGGGCAAGTCAAACAATCTATTTGAGTTTCAATTTTTGCATATCAAAGTTAATTACCCCCTCCCTGCTATCTTGCATTTTCATGATGAAACTCTCCCTTACAAAGATACTCTTAAGACAAAGCAGAAATGTTCACTTCCTAACACTGGTTTATATGGCATGAAAAAAAAAAAGAGCATGATTTCTAAGTTAGAAATTGTATAATAAAACATGAAAAGAGAAAAACAAAATGCTTGTCCAAGACCTTATAAATCAAACATCAAGCAGTCAAATGCCTCAATTATAAAAACCTTGCTTTCATTTATTAATCAAATTGCTCCTCGGTTGCAAAACTTTTTCCTTTTGCTTAAAAAAAATGTACTTTTAAATCATATTCTGCTTTAAAAATGGAAATGTGGTGCATATCTTAGAACAAAACTTCAACCCTCTGTGCCCCCAAGAAATTCACTGATTCAACAAGTCCCATGTCTGAAAGCAGAGGAGCCGAGCAGGGAAACACAGCTGCCATTATATAATCATCAATAGCTCGTGGGCAGGCCTGGATAAAATAGGATCTGCTCTAATGAGAGGGAGCGTCTGGTCAGGCCAATAGGTCGTCTTCAGCTCCTCCCAGAGAAGAGCACAAGCGGTCCAGCTTCACCTGGGTACAGCAGACACACGCCTCCCACGTTCCCTCCAAACATGGTCAGCTCTCAGACTGTGTCACACGAACTGCACCTCTGCATGTTTTTGTGCCATAACAGAAAAAGCTCTTCATTTAATGTGGTAAAGGGAATTTTCTCAATAATTTTTCATGCTAGCTGATACTAAAAAAAGTAAATGCCTTTTAGACCTGTAGTTTCTTAAGCTTTTTCCTGGCCATCTTTTAAAGTTATATTGGCTGGGGCATAATTCTAAAACTCCATTTAACCTTCCTCCAGAAATGGCAAGTCTTCTCAGAAATTGCCTTCTAGTGATGCTGACTAAGGTTTTTGTATTCACTCAAGGCTCTTATCTTATATGCCACATTTAAGTTTAAGTTGATTTAAACAGCTGCACAATTTGAAAACCTTATCATCTAATATAGGTTGTTTGCCGCTCAGATTTTCTCCTTATCCCAGTTGAAATTGAAGAAGAATTTAATTTCAAAGTCACCGAAATGTGACAAGTAAAAAATGAGCAGCAATAAGAAAACAAAAGCCAGAAAAGGGAAGAAGACTGTAGCCTCTTCTCCTACCTCCTGAAACGTCCTGCTCTGGCTCCCGCTGCCATCGAGATGCGTGGAGAGCTTGCGAAGTGATGCTGCCACATGAACTCGTGACTCTGTTTGGCTGCTGTGGCTCATGAGGGACAGAACAAGTCCAACTCCCAGGATACAGCCCGTGCTTGGATGTCAAAAAAAGATGAGGGTCAGCCATCACAGAAATCCACGGCATTGCTCTTCACTCTTCCTAGGAGTTTAGAGTGCTCTGCAATCTGAGGCGAGATGGCTGGACTCTAACTCTGCTGCCTGCTAACAGTGTCCCATGAAACACCATGGGTGTTCCCTTCTTTACCAGCAAAAGGAAACCTTTGTAACAAAACAGTTGTCCAGTGCCCCATGCTAGTGCTATGTATCCACTGGAGAAAAACAAACAAGTAAAAACATAAAATAGTTGGACTTAAACTCTATTGTGAGGAGAGGAGGAGGTATAAACTGTAGTGAAAACAGCTCTATTTCTGCAGCCCAAGAAAATCTGGGGTCCTCCCCACAGCCCTCACTCCCATGTTGAATGAACTATGATTAACTGCGTAAGGAGAGAAAAGATTAACTTTAAGGATAGGAGCTGAGGACATCTGACTAATAACAAGGCAGATAAATAAATGTAACACATGATTATCAGGTCCTGCTAAGTGCCTCATGTTTCCTAGTCAACTTCAACAAGTTGAATTCCGTTCTTATTCGTCTGTGCACAATGACATTAATCCTCTTCTCCCCTCTGATCCCTCAAAGTACCAATGGGTCAGAAGAGAAAAAGGACAGATGACAGGCTTGTCAAAAGTTACCTCATGTGATGATTCAATTGGGAACTTGGGCTTTGCGCCCCAGTTCTTCTGAAGGGGTATGTATCCATTTAAAGAAATGAATTATTCTCCCAGAAAGCTTCCAGTTAGTATAAGATAATAGAGCTTTTGATCTAATTTCTTACTTTTTTAAGAAAGGTTTTTGTCATCATGCTGTTTTTTAAATTGAGGGAATGCTGTGTTTTCCAGAAATCACCCTCACTCTGGTCTGGCCTCTCATCATGCTGCTGCTGCTTAAGAAGACATTCCAGGGCCTCTCTCCAGTAACATATTTCAGTGCCCATATGTTATGTTATTTTGCTCTTATATAGCATCTCCTTGGCTGGCATCACCTTTGCATTGTTTCATGAACATGTTAGTTATTTCCCCCAACACTTCTGTGCAAACAGAGCATCCACATTTGATGAGAGACACCCAAAGGATGGCGATGCTACAGGATGTGCTCAAGGTCACACAGAGCGTTTCAAGCAGAGCACGGCCAGAAGATTTTTTTTTTTTTTTTAATTCCCAGCCTTCTGTTCCATCTGCCAAACCGCAGGCCCCTCTGGTGCCCCGCATGTTGCTGTGATGGAATGCCTATGAGAAGGCAATATAGCTCAAGTGTGTTTTTCTAGGCTCTATTGCATAACAGTCTGGCATTAGAAAATCCTTTGTAAGGAAGCTACTGCAGTCATAATCTATCATTAGTCAGGCAGAAATGCTGTTACAGCTAGCATGAACTTAACAACAAGCTCAACTAGCATAATGCATTTTCAACCAGCGACATTGGCATTGAACATCTGAACACTGCATGCTTTTGAGACAAAGCAAATTTCTGAAAGAGAGCCTGCTCTTCATTAGTATGGATTCAAATCTTTCTTTTCATTTAGAATCTACAAGGAAGTTTTTCTGGCTATCTTTCTATACTGATGTACTGATGCATAAAAAATTTTGATAGAATTTTACCAAAGATAGAGTTAGACAAAATGTGGTTAATATTTTGGAAATTCTGACTTTTGCTCCCTCTTTGACTTTTAAATTGTTACTTATGCTTAAGATTTCAAATGTGACTTCCTCAGGGACACCTTCCCTGGCCCAGCAGGGAAGCACTTCACTATTCTCCCACAGGACCCTGTACTAATTTACTTCAGACAATTTTAATTATAAACACTGATGAGGATTATTTGGGGTAGTGCTTAATTACCATCCACCCCATTCACTAGCCTGCGAGCTCCGTAAGGGTGAAAGCCCTTTCTGTTTTTTCCTCACCACAATGCCTGTGGCACCCAGGATATTGCTGGATGGGGACATGTGTCCAACAAATACCTACTGAATGCTGAACAAGTGGCCAAATGCAGAGCTTCAAGGGAGTCTATAGTGAGAAGAAGCATGCCCGAAAGAAAAACAATAAAGAAAACCAAGACTTGATTCTTTCGTTCAGTTGGAGGCAAAATTCAATGATTATATCATCCAACCTTCAATCAAAACATTTGATTTCTATTTCCTGCCAGGCTGATTTGAGAAAAACGGGTGTCAGGTTCATGTGGAAAAAGGATTCCTTCCAAAGCTCACTTAAGTTCAAGGGTTCATCTTTCTCAATAAACAGGCAGTTACCTAAATCTTGTTTCTTGGGCCACTCTGAGTGTAGAAAAATCTCTGTTCCCTGGACTGCAGCTCCTCTTTTACCATCCCCGGGCATATGGGTATAAAGGCTTCAATCCCAGTTTTCATTCACATTTACCTAAATATTATCAGCATAATTAGGTAAGGTTACTATTCACTAACAGTGCTATTCATTGCTACAATGGTAATTATTTGTTATAATAAACAGATACATAATCTAACTGTATATGTGTGTGCCAATATAAATATGTTAGAGTGCATGCACCTATTGATCCACTACATTGTTTCCTTCTGTTGTCTCATTTTTCCAGCATGCACCAAGTAGTTAGTTCTAAACCTTTATTTCTGATGTTTCCTCTTGATTTCCAAACCTTCTGTATTTTAGCGTCTTTATCTTTTTGCCTAAGTCTTACAGATTCCCCCAAGTGCATAGTTCAGCACTTCTACACATCTCCAGCCTAGCTTCCCTGTGTTATGTCTGCCCGCTCTAAACCTAGACTAGCTTGGGCTTTCATATCTTCCTGTTCATTGAAAACAAAAAGGAATTAAGTGTTGGTGTCTCAAACATATGAGATAAAAATGAGTTATGCATAAAATTGAGGTTTTAGAGATGGAAATGTAAATCTTCTATACAAAAACTAACAAATAATAAAGAGAATTTGAGTTTTAAAATTATGTGTCCTGTTATGCCATTACTTATTTGAATGTCTTATCTATGTATATTAAAATATTTCACTACCAAAAAGAAATTCTGCAACTTCAAATCTATGCAATTCTGATATGTGTTACTATATCAACGGAGATATGCTATGTTTTTCTAAAATTAACTAGAGATGAATCTTGAATTCCCTAGTTTACTGTAGGCTATCCTGCAGATTAAGTACTAGGCCATCTAATCATTCGTTGTAATAACAGTTAACATTCACATAGCACTTTGCCCTTTACAAAGTGCTATACAAATATTATCTTATTTGTAAAAGCTCAATAGTAATTAACCAACGCTCTCAGGTGGATAGCATGACTAGTTAGGGCTGTGAGGATTGCAATGGCAGAACAGCTACCACTAGATGGCAGCAAAATGTAAGCGATAGGACCACAAATACAGACCAGCCCAGGTGCTCTCCTCGGGGACCTGTCCTTTAAATCAAGGAAGCATGGTGAATTTGCTCTGGGTGAATTCTATCACTTGAGGTAGCATGCTCCCAGATCTATTAACTACCTCCTGGTAACGCTTCCACTAATTCACTTGAGGGAGGACTGCCCTAGGCTCTTGCGATCTCATTAGACAGAGGAATACTTTATGCCATGAGCCAGGCATTCAGGCCTGAGACTAGTTAGACCGTTTTTTTTTTTAATGGCAAGCAAGACCCACATGCCAGAGAAAAATAATAATCCCCATATTGTCAAGGGTCAAACTGATTTATATATATTTTCTGATTTTAAAAAATATTTATTTATTTTACTTCACCTATTTTCCCACCCCCTTCCCCTTTGGCAACCATTAGCTTGTTCTGTATATCTATGGGTCTGTTTCTATTTTGTTTTTTTAAATTCATTTGGTTTGTTTTTTAGATTCCACATATAAGTGAAATCACATGGTATTTATCTTAGTCTGATTTATTTCACTTAGCATAATACCCCTAGGTCCATCCATGTTGTTGCATATGGCAAAATTTCATTTCTTATTATTGTACTATTCGAGCTTTCTTTCTGTTGAAGTGCTCTCAATGCTATACTATTCAAGAGAGAGAAAAATGGCTTTGAAGTCAGAAAACCTAGGGTTTCTCTTTGAGCTCTGTCACTTATTGTGTGACCTTGAAACAGTCTCCTATTTGAGACGCTTTCTTTACCACTAAACCAAAATGATGAAGATCCTTGCTTTGGTATCAATATTTAGGTTGCAAACAGGGCTTAATTACATGAGAAATGAATGTGAAAATGCTTAGCACAATTTGTGGCTACTCAGTAACTATTAATTGGACCTCAAACCTGAGAGGGAACAACATAAGCTACCCACAAAGCGTTAAGAATGACAAAATACTAAGACTTCATTAACTGTAGGAATAGCAGGAGTTTTGAGAAGATAGAGAGTTCCTTGAAGGAACTGAGCTTTTAATTGGTCACTGAAAAACAAGCCAGAGTTTACTAATGGACAGGGAGTTTCTGATGACCCTATTCTACCCGACTCTGTGGGATTAGTTCCCTATCTAGGCCCACCCGCCCCTCTCCAAATACAGTTGCTTATTGAGAAGGTAAGAATAAAGAATTGAGAATTTTATTATTTTAAAAAGTTCATTTTAAAGTTAAATATTCTTAGACATATTTAGTTATTACAGGTATAAATACCTACATTGTGGATAATTCAGCTATCTCCGTGGTCCTCCTTACCGTCAAATGACCTACCTAGAAACTAGTGAAGGTAATATTGGGTTGGCCAGAAAGTCCATTTAGTTTTTTCCATAAAAAGACACATTTTTCATTTTCATCAATAACTTTATTGATTCAGATATTCTGAGTATGTTGGCTACCTCCCATGTGGCATAATGTTGATTGCTCTCAATTAATGTCTCGATTTGATAGGTATCAACTTCAACTGGTCTACCCGACCATGGAGCATTGTCCAGAGAGAAATCTCCAGCATGAAACTTTACAAACGAGTTCTGACACTCTCAATGAGTCACAGTACCTTTTCCATACACTGCACAAATATATATATATTTTGTGTATTTCAGTTGCATTTTTACCTTTTTTGAAACAATAAAGTATAATATGCCAAAAATGTTATTTTCTTCCATCTTCAATATTAAAATGGGTACATAAAAATTCACCGATTTTGATAAGTTTTTTAAAATGTACGTTGATATGAGAGCTGTCATAATACAATCTAACAAAATTGTTTCTAATGAAGTTAAAAGACAACTAAGTGTTCCTAAAGCCATCTTAAAAAAAAACAAAAAAAACCAAAAAAAACAAACCCACAAACTTTTTGGCCAACCCGATACATGAAAATTATTCTTGATTGTTTCAACTGGCTGAAAGTTTAGAGCATCTTAATCACAAAAATTTTCCCCAACTATATAATAATTGAGCTGCAACTATGATAGACACCTTTGGAGGGAAGGCAGGAGAAAGGAGGGAGGGAGAGAGAGGGAGGAAAGAAGGGAGGGAGAGAGGGTGAACAAACCCATCTTACTCCTTGGCTGTAAAAGGCAACACCACCAATACATGGATTAGGCTCAAAAATCTCAAATTATTATCAGACCCAATAACACTTAAATGGCTCTAAACCTTCTACTAATCATTTTCTACCTTCAAGGGACTTTAATCATGCCACTGAACTCTCTTTTTCCATTATCAAAACCACACTCTTAAAACAGCATGTCATCTCTTAAGTGTTTTGTGATAAACTGGGTGAGCATAAATGGTTCTTACCCAATCTTAGCCTGAATCTGGAAGAACCTGTCATGACGACCTACTACATGAAGATTTGGTTTTGTTTATTCATAATGAAATACTTGATGCATAAAGCTACTTCTACCACTTATTCTTTTGTTAGTTTGAACAAAAAGGCTGGATGGTATAAATGTAACTTCAGATCATAAGTTCCTAAAGATCAGAAACATAAACTCTGAATTAAATCCTATTTGACCAATGCCTATAATAGCAAAAAAAGTAAATGTGTTCATAAATTGGAAGGTAGTGCTTATAACCTGTTAAGTTTCCAAGTAACCACAAATCCCTGAGGATCCAAACCTGAGGTTCCCAAAAGTATGTGAGTCCAAAATGGGACAACGTAGTCCTCAATGGTATCAATATTTCAGAAAGCCTAACAAAACCATGTATTTTCTCACACAAGTCACAAGGACTAATTGAAACACTAAATGCCTCACTAAATGAATATGTTTAACACTGCATTCTGAGGTATTCTTTTCTGGTTATTCCTTTTTGTTGTTATCTTTCATGGCAGCAATGAGAAAATGAATTAAATTTTAAAATAAGTATTTAGTTTAATAGACAGAATGTTAAAAAATTATGAGGTCTGTGGGGCAAAAAAGGATCTATTAGCATGGAGGAGGTTAGGAACCCCTGGTGTAACCTCTATTTCCATTTTGATTTCTCTGCCATTGGATTTCACAGAGAAATCTAAATCATGGGTCAAAAACTCTCTTAGTCCAATCAAATTTTTAAAAAAGTTTCTTTAAAAAGGTTAACTCATGTACACAGTCTCCAAATATATGCTTAATATGATTATTTCCAAGACACAACTTAATGACAGCCATAAAATAACACTTGCTGCTTTGTGGTGAAGCAAATTTTCTCTTGCTGAAACACTGTTTTCAGAACAAGTAAGCTTTAATTACAGATTTTTAATTATTACTGAAAATTCTTTGCAAAGGAATACAAGATTGGGTCTTACAAATATTTCACCATAGAATACAAAATTTATGGCAGAGAAAAAACTAATCTCGAAGTATCTGTTAAGAGAGGAAATGAAATCAACATACTTGTATTCAAGACTAGTGTCAAAGCAGCAGTTTTCCAGAGCATCCAAGGACTTCATCAGAAGAAGGTTCATCTGTTGGCCAGAAATATCACTAGGTAAAGACCAAAGGGGGAAATGAATTATTGAAAGTCATTCAACTGAATAAATTACTTACTATATAATATTTTGCTCACAATGTTTTACTGAAAACGCATTCATTTCAAAAAACATAAAAGTAACAATAATACTGATGATTTATATATACTTATTTTGTAGATAGAGAAACTGAGTCAGAGAATTTATTCAATACTTCGGTTTCTGAACATTACAATTATTTGAAAACCAATAAACCTTAAAATTGCTACTTTCATGTTTTCTCAGCCCATTAAAACTTTTTTGTAATTGAAGTATATTTGACATGCAATATTATATTAGTTTCAGGGGAACAACACAGTAAGTCAACATTTATATACCTTAAGGTATGACCACAATACGTCTAGTAACCATCTATTGCTGTACGAAGTTATTGTCATATTATTGACTATATTCCCTGTACTGTACACTACATCCCTGTAACTTATTTTATAACTGAAAGTCTGTACCTCTTATTTCCTTTTACCTTTTTCATCTATCCCCCCATCTTTTCCTCTCCAGTAAACATCAGTTTGTTCTCTGTATCTATGAGTCTGTTTCTGATTTATTTGCTTGTTCATTTTTTTTTAATCCTACCTATAAGTGAAATCATATGGTATTTGTCTTTCTCTTATTTCATTAGCATAATACTCTCTAGGTCCACCCATGTTGTCACAAATTTAGCCCATTCACATTTTAAATCACTAAAAAATAAGAACCGAAGTCAGAATTCCAAAACTAACATTTCTAAGAATGCTGAAATTATTGTCTTCTGAATATTTAATAAATCCATTAGGCTGATATTATCAATAACCATTCCAAATCTCTTTTTGTGCAAAGACATTACTTTTGATTTCATGTCTCAATCATAGAGGTTTTAGTTCTATTCCTTTCCTTACATTGTTTTAAAAGCGGGGGGAACACCAGCCCTATAGTTTTGTCTACAGTAATTGATGTGATTTTGTAATTGTCTTGGTGAGAACTATGACTCGTATAGTAAAATAAACTTAAAAGAGGTTTGTTGTTTTTTTTTTCCAGGCAGAGCTATGGGCTTCATCACCGGCACTTGATTATCAAGTGTCCCGCATGTCACCTCTCGTGCAGCCGCCTCCGCTGTGCTCCGTGGAACGGGGCCCCAGGAACGCCGGCCACTCGGAGGGCCCTTTCCCTGTCTTTTCAAACCAACACTACACTGGTTTGGCTTGAGGTGAAGGATTAAATTTTGCAATGAAAACACACACATGCACACACACAATTTTAATAGCTTTAACTAAATAAGTCGTATTATAGTTGTTCTCTGGAGTAAAATATATTTAAATATGCTAAACAAATGTTAAAGTACTAGTATCCTCTGGGAGTTACAACAAAAGCAAGGTTTGAAAAAATATGCTTTCCTGAATAAATTCTAGACTGGAATTTAAATTCATGTGACTTCTTTTCATAAGCTTTAGCAAAAAAATGGATCGTCACAATTCTCTTTTACAAGGTGATTTTTCATTCTTGAAACTAATTGTTTCCCTTTAAGGGGTTATTTTGGGTCACTTATTAGATGTCATTCACTAGTCAGAGTCGACAACCCTCAAAACATTTACCTTAATTTCAGAAAAACAGAAACTTTCTCCAAAAATGTCATTATCGGATGGCATTGTCATTATCTAGCAAAATATTTCTTTTTAGTACCAAAGGGATATATATTTCAGATTCCTCTGCTCCAAGATAATTAGGATGGTGGGAACCAGGAAAAATTATATTGGTGGCCACAGCAGCCAAAAGGAGGATCAAACACAGGGTCATTAAAACAAATTTAAAACCTGCAGTTATTCTGAGGGCACTTAGCCATGGGAAGGGCTTCCCTGGGTCCTTCCCCAGGGTTTCCTGCAGGTGCAAAGTCAAGTAAGAGAAGGTAGCAGTGGAAGACAGTTTAGGAACCAGGGATGAATGCCTTAGGTGAATCACCGTAGGTTTCTCCAGGTAGTATGATTAAATTAACCACAAATGCAAGCCTGTCAAGCCCTAAAACCAGCAGCAGCTCATGCAAAACTCATGAAAAAGGGAGCCACAAGATGGAATGAGTGGCTTGGAATTAAACTGCCAGGGCTTATTTTTAGTTGTAAAACACATTACTTGAAAAGGTACTGAAGAAAGGGCATGAACACAGATAGTAAAGAGACTACCATTTGTGGCATAGTGGCAAAGGAAAAGAAAAACCACTTTTAACTTTTAAGTCTTCAAAAATACTTTGTGTTCACATACACACATTATGTAACAGTTAATTCACACGCAAAGGGCAGCTTTTTGTTCACGTCCAGGCCTATACACACTAGCACTGGTGAATAGAACAAAATGGATATTCTACAAACATTTCATTTATGATCACAAAGACTAAGCCAAATCTTCCTAATCATCTGATGGATGCTTCCAAGAGCTGAAATAATTATCTGAAATACGTTATTTCCCTAGATCAATAGCAATTCTCATAAAGGTTTCATATATTGGTATTTGTACAAAACTATAATTACAAATGAAACGTAACCACGGGTTATACACTGAAATCTAAATGTAGCATTGTGTCGTCCAGTTTATCCACATCAACAGCATTGCTTGCCTTTGCACAGACAGTTCGCTTCTGCTAACCAGGGAAGTTTAACAGCAGCTCACTCTACAAAGGAGGCCCCTCCCTAATACCCTATTTCCAATGCCGGAAAATGGGGTTAAATTCCAATTCAGTGACATCTAAATATTCATGATACTCAAATATTCATGCTCTAGCACACTACACTAAATTTAGATGTATAAAATTCTAAGATTTATTATAAAATAAAAACATGAACAACAAAACTAGACTCATGTAAGGGAAAACTCTCCTATTGAGTGGAAGTTTCCACCTGGGTCTTTGACAGTCTATTAGCATGATTCAAGGGTAAAGCTAGCAGGCCAAAAAATGAGCAGACTGAATAAACCACGCAGTATAATATGCACAGATGAAGACTCTTTAAGGATTATAAAACTGCAACCAGGCACAGGTTAAAAGCAATATTTAAAACGGGGTACATTCAGTTCTCAAGTCATTCAGTGATTCCCACATCTTCAGGCACAGGGGACACCCCAATCCTTTCCTTCCATTTTACAATGACATCAATAAAGGATCAGCAATTATTTTTACCCTTATAAGCCAGGAACAAAAGCAGCTTTTCTTTATTTATAGCACCATAAGATCAGCCTTCTCCTCATATCTATTACATAGATGTATTCAGGGCTTTCATCTAAGCATGAAATGATTTTCAAGTCATCTATCACTTTAATAAGAGCAACCCTTAAAATACATTAATATCTATGTGATGATATTTTAGAAAGACAAATTCACTCATAAAGAATACATGATCAACTTGTCTATCTCAAAAAGTTCAGCATGCACATATTGCTCAGATAAAACGCTTATGTATGTGTGTGTGTATGTGTGTAAAATCCTCTACTATACCACAAAGAGGAAAAGCAGGGCTATTTTAATAAACTGTACCTGAGTTTCTCCTCACACAAGCGAGAGAGAAACATCCCCAAAGCAAGGCCCATGTGGATTTGCACAGCTTGAGACTCATCAGCGCTTGGTTTCCCAGGTAACCTGGCAGTCAGCATGTTCAGGATTTCCTCAACCTTCTCTTTGCAAGAGATAATGAAAACTGGCACCAGGAGAGACAAAGCCGCGGCGGCCGCAGAACGGGCGATGGCACTAGCTGTGTTTTCACCGGAATAGGATTTCTAGGACATGCCAAAGAAAGAAAACAGGGGGGTGGCCTTTTGTTTAAAACATGAAGGAAACATACCTATCACAAAAACACTATGCAACAATACAAACTTCTCTTAGATCCACCCCTGCCAAGTATAAAAATAATTTTAAAAATCTGTTTTTGTGTTTGTCTATAGGTTACAGTTTCACTCTTACTGCAAAAAATAGCTACAAGCAATCCCTTAACTAACAATATCCTTTCAAATTTGAAAAAACAAATTATAAGTGCCTCCTTTTAAAGGGTGTGAAGTCCCTCGCTAGAAAGCTTGAAAAAATTTCAGTGTTTTGAAAGCCCATGTGTGTATATAATGAAAAACCCAAAGTGAAGCAATCCAAGCTTGGAGAAATCACTAAGCCACATTATAAATGTCCAGAAAGCCAGGGGTTTTCTAGGAGAGAAAGAATGAGGTGGGATTGGGGGATAGGGGAACAGTTTAAGTTTAGTATGGAGGGACAAGTGTAAATTTAGCATAGGGATCTATTGGCAGATCTCCCAAAATCTTTGGTGGGAATGTTTCCCAGTAGATGGATTATTTCCTACAGGGGGTTAATTCCTTTTAATTAAAAAGGAAGTTGAAATCCTAAAAGCCTCTGGTTACAAAGCAATAACCAGCTATTGAAAATGAAATGGAGAGCCCTTATATGCTCCTTCCTATATGCAATTATGGGAAAAGGAATGAATAACAGCCCTAATACCATAACGGGGCAGCTGAATATGAACAGCTTCTAACAGAGTCTCATGTTTGAGAGCTCCGCCAGGCATTATATACACTTATAAACATGTCTCAAGTGGGAAAGAAAGTCCGTTTATCACTCCTCACTCTTACCCACTTCAAATTTTCAGACACAGCATAAAGGCCACGTTGTCTCTTATAGACCAAACACATTAAAAATGTTTTTAACTCTATACGCATTTGCTCTCTAAGCTTTAGCACTTTAAGGATAAAAATCAAGTATGTGCTAAGCATTCTTTTAGTTAATACAGCACTATTACGACAATACTACTCAAAATGACCCAGCTGCTAGGACACTGGAAATATAAAAAGTGACTCTTGAAACAGAGATTTGAAAAAGTATAATAATGCAAAAATCACAAAGGTAAGAAGCAATAATGACCTAGCTAATGAGGAGATTATTTTTATTGATGAACAAGAACTAAGCAGTGTTATTAGGAATCGATACAATATCCTGTCCTGCTCAAGATCTAAACCAGATAGTTATTGCAAAGACCTCCATATAAGCTAATAAATTTTTCATCCATCATTAAAGAAATAAGAACACTTCGAAAGAGAACAAATCATTGTAAAGAAAGCATTTCTGTGAGCAAAACCTACCTTCCAATTTAATTCTACATTACCTACTAAGGCATTTTACTGCCCTCAAGTACAGTTAAAATCTAGTCCCACACCCTAAGGCCCAGATGAATACATACCAGGCCCTGCAAGGGCAGGAGGACAGAGGTACAGGGAGAACACCTAAGGCAATGGAGTTTCAGGCTGAATTCATGATCTTAGCAACTGGTCAGGACCTGTGCTATATTTTTATTCTGATCAACTATAATCCTCTGCCACTCAGCTGATTGTCCCATGATCACTATAATTCCCACACAGATAAATAAAGCATTCACTCCAGCCAGTAAAGGGAAAATGAAACCTAAACAACAACAAAAAATGTGTTTTCAATTTGCTTCAAATCTTACAATATAAGCAAGAAGAAAATGACTAATAGGTGCTTTGTTTTGATCAATGATATTACTTCATATTTATAGAGTGTTTCACAATTTTCAAAAGGTTTTTTCCATATGTTATATAATTTGATCCCCACAATCTTTTATAAAGTTGGCAAAACATTAGTTTTTACCTTCATTTTACAGATAAGGAAAGTAAGATAATGGGTTAAGTGTCAGATCAACAGAAACAAAACTAATCAAGGGTGAAGCTAGGGTTATAATCACTATACATGATAGTGCTCAACTGCCTCATTTTATAAATAGGGACACAAGGGTCCTCAAAGATTAAGTGAACTGCCTATGCTCACATCTTCTGAAATGGTAAAAAAATACAAAACAAAACAAAACAAAAAACTATGACTAGATACTTAAGGTCTCCATCATCAGCCAGTGTTTATTTTACTATAACTGTAGCTCCTGACTCTGACTTACACATTAGAATAACCTAGAAAGCTTCCGAAATGATGATATCCAGGGCCTATCTCTGAGCAATTAAATCAGACATAAGGCCTACACATCTGTATCTCATATATATATACACACATACATATATACACACACACGCATATTTATGTACATATAAATATATATACATACATATTTAATATACATATTTATATTATATTAATTAATTTATTTAAATATCCCCAAGTGATTCCAATGTACACCTAAGAATCATTACATGACATCATGAATTTCATGTGAATAATTGATATGAGCAGAATCAACACAAGTTTGCCAATCATCTTTTATTTCTCAGACTTACATAATAAAACGAGGAGAAAAGTTGTCCTCTGGGTTGGTAGTGGTTGTCCACAATGACCAGGAGAGTATCAGATACCATGGAAACCCACTCTTTCATTGAAAGGAAATTAGGTTGAACCTGCAGATGAAGAAAAACATGAAATGATAGTGGAAAAACTAAAAAACCTAAACACTGTTTCTAGATTTAGGGTATAGCCCCACTCTGTATTAAAAAATGAAGTGTTGTTACCAGAATGTAAACTTCATCTGCCAGGACTAAGGAGATGGGTAGGCATTTGACAAACAGACACCATCACCAGCACCCCAACAGGAGTATTTACCTTTCATACAAGACTTAACAGAGGTGAGAGGATGGAGGATACAAAACAGAACGCATTCGAGAGCTCCTCAGAGCTCTCCTGAGTTCAGTGAGAATAATGTGGAGATTAAAGGGAGAGATGTACAGAGAAGGCAGTCAAAATTTCTCAATTCTATGACATTATTTCACGAAGGAGGCAATAAAGCAGCTAACAAAATTTTGAGCATTATCACTAGCATTTCTGCTATCACCATATACTTACCATGCAGGAAACATCACAACATTTTCCTAGCTAATCAGTTATAAAAACATAATTGATTTTCAGTTTGGAAAAGAAAAAAGAATATAAAACAACAAAGCAAAACAACAACAAAATCCAACTCATTGAAAAAAGACCTTGGTTTTAAAAATCACTCATGACCATGGATGTCAAAAGCATTCATTAACTCACATGGTATTTTCAGGTCATGCAAACTAAAGGTCAGTATAGGGTTAAGTAAGTAGCTCCTTGGAATTAATTCCTTGAATGAAACAAAACCGCCTTCTTAAGATCATTAGCTGTTTGTCATATGCAGATTTAAATGAAGTTTGAAAACTTCAACTTTAATTAAGTAATGAGATCTTGAGTTTGTATTGAGTAATAGCTAAAGCCAAGGTCATCAAGTATAAAAGCAAAGCCCCATCTCTGGGCTGTGTGGCCTCTCAATGTTTTGTGTACTCTGTATTACAGTGCAGAACAAAAGAGTAGGGGAATAAAGAAGATTTAGAAGGCCTGGAATTCAAACTCTGAACTATTAGCCCCATTTTTACTGAGGTAAAGTACACCTGTACAACTGCATGGCTCTTTTTGAAAGATACAAAACATTTCCTCTCTTGAAAATTTCATCTTTCTCATCATCAAAATAAGATTCTGGTTTTAAAGGTAAATTTTTATATAGTAAGTAATTACTATTACATTTTTATCCTTCATGCAATAACCCCTTGACCCCTTTCCCTTCCCCACATGCGATATATATTGGTAGCTTTTGCCACATGGCATCTATTCTCTTATCTACTAGTAATAGCACCCTTTAGGGAATCCCCTCCCCCATGATTTGAAGCCTGGTTAAATGCTCAATGAAGCTACCTGTCCTACCCAACCCAAAGTGTAGGAACGCATAGAACTCTATATCTTAAGTGAGTGATGCAAAGACAGTAAATGAGTAGAGCTGATCCAGCCCAGCGGGGTGAGCGGGGAGGTCTGATGAGATGGCTTATGGCACCTGTTCTGGACTCCCCAAGTTGCCTTGGTTACTGTTCTTCACAAAAAACAATTTTTAAGTTCTGTTTTCAGTCCCTTGGGCTTTCCGATTCCTTATCCTTCTAGTTCCTTTTTTAAATGAGGGCCATTTTCTTTGCTTACAACCAAAAACCCCACCATGAAATAAAGCAGTACAACAGGGCAGGCTGGCTTAGCAGTTAGTAACATAAGCTCTGGAGCCAGACTGCCTGGGCTCAAATCCTGGTACTGTCATTTGCTGTGTCACCTCAGGGAAGCTGTGTAATCTCTCTGAGCATTTGTCTTTAATGTGGGAAGGAATCTTATACCTAGGTCCTGAGTGGTTGTAAAGATAAAATGAGTTAAAAAACAGTACAGATGATCCATAAGACACTTTGTGGGGACAGAAACAGGCTGAATAACATTGAATAAAGTCCAGTTTTTGCAGCAAGAAGTGATGAAGTATATGGTGATGTTGACAATAATGGTGACTGTTATTGAGAGGTTAGTACCGACCAACCACTGTGTTTTCCATATATTAATTTACTTAATCTTTAAATAATCCTATGTGGTTAGTACTGTTATCCCCATTTTGGATGGCAGAATAGGCTCTGAAAAGGGAAGTTACCAACAGCAGACCATAGAGCTAGTAAGTGCAAGTATTAGGATTTAAATGAAGAACTCTCCTACTCCAAAGCCTATGTTTTTAACCACTAGACTATATTGTTTCCAGATACTAATAGCTACTATATAATGGGGCTTCTAAGAAAAATAAATCCACGCCTTTTTATTTTGACAGATATGAATTATATGAAAAAGTATATTGGAAATGAACATTGGCCAGCTCACCACATGTTTAATTAAGAAATAAATGCCTTGCAAAAATGAATAGGCACTTTGTCATTGACATCTACAATTAAAATGCAAAGTATAATTTTTTTTTCAGTCAGTAAACACTGCTTATTTATCATTTCTTGACAGCATTGTTCACTTTCAGTAAGCCTAGTTAACCTCCTGAGATTGGTTACCACTGATGTAATCACAAAGAGACAACCCCTGTTGCATAAAATTGGTACCTTCAAATTGAAATGACCACTTAACTGTGATGGAGAAAGCAAAACAGAAAAACTGCAAAGAAAAGTATCTGAAAGACACTGTAGCTCACAGTGTAAAGGCCCATCAACCAGCATAACTTGGGGCTGCAGACACAGACTCTAACGTCTTGAATTCAGAGCCATGCTTCCAGAGACTTCTCACTCTTCAAATGTCACACAGCCAAAGCCCACTGATTCATATCTCCCTTAGCTCACCTCCAGGACCCCCTCGGCATCTGAAGAGAGGCTGGCTTCATGTTTGGATACGACGACAGCAAGGCTGCTTAAGGCTAACAGTGCATTGCCTTTAACCACTGGGCTGTCCCTGTTTAAAACAAACAAACAAACAAACAAACAAACAAAAATTCCCAGAGAGGATTTTGGGGCATTAACTGGAAGAAAAGAAGGAGCTATTATAGGGAGGGCACATGAGGTCAAAAAGAACTTCCACTCCTTCAATGAGTCATAAACACAGGTCCGTTTGTTCCCTGATGCCAGCAGCTTCTTTCCAACTTCTGACGTTGGTACTGATTTTTAACTCCTTTTATAGATGGAAGGTTGGTCTACTTTTTTGTAGCTTAAAAATCCAAGCACATCTATACCTAAGTTCTTCCTAAAATTTTTATTTCCTCACGTGACATTACATTTCCTAAGCTATCTTCTTCTGTCATCTTTGGCCAATACAAATGTATTGATTTGTTCTGGAAACATGACCAAGGACAGTTAAGTGAACAGGCCCAGCTGAAGGGAATTGGCCTCTGACTTTCTTAAAGCACAGGTGTGTGGAACCAGCTTCCAGTGAACCACTTCAGACGGCATCCTTTCCTAGCAACTTCACAGACTGGCAGCTTTCCTCACTCACTATTATCCTCCCCTTCCGTCTCTTACCACATCAAAGACTGCAACCTTAAAGCCAATCTGTAATGTAATTTTGAGATCCTAGAAAAGATGCAAACTACCCCCCCCCAAAAAAAACAAACAAAAAACACCTGTTTTTAGGCTATTTGGATGGAGTGTTTCCCTTTACATCATCCAAAAGGTAGTTTTCTAATATTAGCAAAATCTTAAATTTGACTTCTCAACTTCGTATCAAGAAACTGAGCATTTTTAATATATTCACCACTTAAAAATACACATTTAGGATTATTCTATAATTCCAAAATTTGACACTATGAGATATTCTTGACTTGTCCTAACAGAACTCAAGGAGCAGAGCACTCATACTGTCGGATAGTTCAGTTCTCAGTGTGAGCTAGGTATAATTGTGGGTTCCCATAAATACAAAGAATGTTTCCCTAAACCTAGACTTGACACCTGAACTTGAATAAAGTACTGGTCCCTGTTTACCCTAGTGCTGGAATGGAACAGATATGTGGGATAAAGAAGACAGAGTCATGACTGAATGTGAGCTAGTGAGTATTAAAAAATTAGTATGCACATGTGTCCTTGCATTTTTGCTTCCATTCAGTAAGAATAGGACTCAGGATGTGCCATGTTCAAGTTCTTCCATTTATCTATTCACCCAATCCTTCCTTCCTTCTCTTTCTCCCACCTGGGGGTGGTTAAGCTCAGTGAAGTCTTGCCCTGCACACTTGGTCATTTTGTTCACCAATTTGTTTCTTAATTCAATCCTCTATGAGACCTGCCTTAAGTTGATAAGACAACAACATTTATATTGGGGGGTTGTGCAGGGGAGAAAATAGGAAGGAAGACTTGTGATCCAAGCAGGTGGCCTCACCGAGGTTTTGCTAGAGTTCTGCAGTTGGGATTACTGGGAACTCATATGCTAATAATGAAAGAAGAAGCAAGGCAAGACCTGGGTATTCCTAGGTAGCGCAGCCATTAAGTCATTTAACAAAACCAAAATTAAATCTTTTATTTCTCTTATCTCTTTCCTTTAGCTGAGAATGTTCTAAGCCTGTCTTGCTACGAAGTGATCATAAATTCCTAAAATTGGAAAAAAATAGTTTTAAATTCTCAGTTATTTGAGAATTAGATCCCCAGTTTTAATCACCTCGTAGAAAAACTAAGATGGTCACTAGAAACCCGGTACCACATCTTTTAAAACAAGGCTAGTAGACAAGATAACATAAAAAGTATCTTTTTAACTTTGAATTCTGAAAGAGAATTTAGCCTCCATTTTAAAACAGTGCCCTAAATAATTTTATTTCAAAAGTTTCACTGGTCTTGACATTCCAGAGCATGTATTGTTTCTCATAAAATGGAGGAAAATGTACTTAAAGCCACTGCTAATTAGAACTTGTATTACAGAGTAAATGAAAATTTGAACATTAATCTTTGAATAGAAAAAATTAGTCCACAGTCCACTCAGTGCATGCTTAGGCCAAGCTCTATGTTTCATAAAGGTACAATGACTATTAGCTCTTGATCATCTATGTATTCCCTACATGCCTAGCACAGTGACGTATAGAGAGAAAGCGCTCAATACATATTTAGTGAAATAAATTCGAGGAGGAGCTGGCCAGGTGAAAATCTACAACTGGTTCAGCAAAAACTCATCACACTGTTGATCAAATAACTATCTCCTACAGTCAAGCAGAAGTAACTAATTTGCATAATGACATGTCAGCATCAGTACAATATTTATCTAGGCAACACCACTGACATTTTAATTAAATTGTCCTTTGAAACAAACTGATGCCATTAACCTAATTAAAAAACACGTAAAAGGATGAGCTATGATGATGCTTTCTCAGGGACAAAGTATTATGTTATATATTAGTAAAGTGACCCAATCCCTAGGGGATTTTTACAGTCAGGTTCAAATCTATCTAATTAATAAGAGTGAAAATAAACTTACATCAATCATCAGGTTTTAACTGTGCTCTGATTTTCCTTTAGACCTATCCCAGGCGCTTTAGAAATAAACGCTCTCAAATGAGCAAATCAGTCTAATCCTGTAGACTGATGTTTTACTTCCTGCATTTAACTTATGGCTCAGAACAAAATAAGTCCTACACTGGCCCAGACCAGCCTGTGACGGCCCATGGTCCAAGGAACAGAAGACTCAGCAGCCAGGAGGCAGTGGTGGGAACTTCACATGGTTGGTTGAAGGAAGTCAGAGGGAGAAAGTAAAGGGAGGGCAGCAGAGTGATTCTCTCCCTGCTCTACCATTAATTCTTTTGCCTCTAGACGTTAACTCTCTCTTATCCATTTGCTGTCATGCCTAGTATTGTCAGGATTCCTTTAATAAGTTAAGGTCTATAAAGTGCTTTGAAATTTTTGATGAAAAGATAACACCATGAAAACATTTAGAATGAGAACACTCACTTCTTTGGTATTGAAACAATGAAACAATGCTTTGGAAATCGAAGATTAAAGTCTTGTTGAAATAAAATTTTAGAATGGAAGAATATAAAAGCTACTAGAGAGGTATAATTATAGTTTGTTTTAAAAGAAAGATGCTCTTTTCTTCAGTATACCAGCTTTTTGCTGCAAATACCAGAGCACCATTTTTAACAGGATGTAAGTATGTAAGTAGACTAATATGATAGAACAAACTATGAAAGGTAAGGTCAAAGGCAGCTTCCACCGCAGCACCTCCTCCCTTCCAAGGCGCAGTCCAGTGCGCTCCCACTGTGGCTGTAATTCACCGAACTAGATAAGCAGAAACAAATGAGTTCCAATAGAAGCCTCTTGGCACTTTAGTTTTCCTTTTGTCAACAGATATGTCCCAGTGCCTCCTGCAGCACTGAGAGTATTGGGAGGATTACCACTTTTATTTGCTTTCATTCAGGAGACAGGAGGCTGAGGAGTCATCATGTACTGACATTAGACGCTACAGTTAAGTGCCTGTTTAAGAAATTACTGGTAGAAAGCTAACTCTAAGGTAAATCATTTTTTTTTAAGGCAAAATCTACTTAGCTATAGAGGGATAAACTAAACTGCAATGAAATATTTCTGGATACTGGAGTTTCAATGCACATGAAATCTTCTAGGTCAAAGGTATATCTGTATTGTTTGGTGAATAAGAAAAAAGGATGTCAAAGAATGCCAGCAGCTAAAGGTGAAGGTGGAAGGGAGAAGTGTATGTAGCTGACCATAACTTACTGCCAGAAACAATTAGTCAGCTTGTTAACAAAGGAAACTGATAAGATTGTTTAAGCAAGTTCATTATAGTATAATTTTCTTAGTTGGCTTAAGATAAAAAGCCTCAAAATAGTAATACTTGTTATTTTTTGTTAAAACGACCATAAGATATGACTGAAACTGCCTTTTTTACTGGATCTTAACATTAATTTTTAGTATTTAAAAATTCAATTTTTTAGATACTCTGGATCCAATCACACAAAAGGAATAAAAGGAAGTACTACTTTGATTTATTTGCTGGATGAAAGTTGAGATTTAATAATCTATTTATTAATTCATGTAGCAAAGATCCCCCCACCCCCACCACCACCCTGCCACATCAACTAAATTAGAATTTTAAAAATCTAAGTCAGTATGGGGCACTTTGTTACCTATACAACCTCAGTAGACTCTTGATGTAAATGTATGAATTTGTTCTTTTGTCTGTTCACAAAAGGACATGTAGTAAGAATTAACTTAATATGAGAAAGGATAATTAAAAAAAATATTGAAAAGTCCATTAAAATTCTTCAAGTTATGAAATACCTAAATGGAGAAATTGTATGTATCTGCCAGGAAAACAAAATATTTATAGAAAATTTTTGATAAGAGAATGAACAGATCTTACTTTGCAGCCGACTTGGTGATCTCATCTGTCAACATGTCTCGAACCCTGCAATAATGATGGAAAGAAGGTAAGTTTAAGAGTTTATGTCAGAGCAAGAACCCAATCTTTTGGCTTATTCACCAATTAATAAGAACCTCTAGAAGTGATTCCAGATCTAAACACTATATATGTAGAATTTTAGTGCAAGCTGAAAGAACTGTAATAAGGGCTTTACTTCAAAGACTTTCATCTTGCTATTCCTTAGGTCACTTAGTGGAGGGAGGAGGTGAATGTAACCAAGGAGGGATGTACAGGCAATGTTGCAATGGTGTCCCCTCATGAACTGATTGGAGAGTCTGTGTGTCCTTTCTATTATTCTCTGCTGTGGTCTGAATGTTTGTGTCTCCCCAGGTTCACATGTTGAAATCTTAACTCCCAATGTAGGGTATTAGAGGTGGGGTCCTTGGGAGCTGGTGAGGGCGGAGTCCTTATAAAAAGAGACACCAGAGAACTCTCTCTTTCTCTTTTTTTCCTCTCCTCTCTCTCCCTATTCTCTCGTCTCTCCCCACGTCATCGCCTACCTTCCACACATGAAGACATAAGGAGAAGGTGGCAATGATCTCCCAGCTTCCGGGACTGTGAGAAATAAGTATCTGGTGGTTTAAGCTACCCAGTCTATGGTATTTTTGTTATAGCAGCCTGGACTGACTACAACATTTACTCTTTTTTGCACAAGAGCTCACCAAAACAGCAATTTACTATTTCCAAATTGTAGATAATGGAATAGGCACTATGTATGTATATAAAATAAAACTAAAAACATTGGTTATAAAATCACTCTGAAGCTAAAATAATTACACTCGTGAATTTGAAGGAAGGTATGCTCAATTCAAATATTCATAGAATAAAAAAATTTTTCAGTGTATGAGCCTTGAGTAAAGTGAAAAACAATCACTGCTATATTTACATTTTGAAGAGGATAGAGACATTTTCACTAGGTACTTTGAATTTCATAAATTCAAAGTTTTTATAACTTTTATGACATTTTTGCAAATATAAATTGTATTTGCATTCATAAATATTTTCATTCAAAATCTAACAAACTCTTAGCTATTCTGCACTCTCTTGAGAATGTCATTCTTAAGAGCCAAGCTTTTCAGTTAGTTGCAACTGTTCCGATAGACCTTTAACTTGTATTTTATGAAACCATTCGACAATAAATTCTCTAAACTGTCCTATCCCAGTTTTCCTAGATGGAGAATAGTATATTTAATGTATTCATTTATTGGTCAATGTGGAATATTTACAAATGATGACCTGTCTATACTTACTTCCACATAGGGCCAAATCTTCCGCTTGTGGACTAGTTCCCTCCGTTTACCCATCCCTTCTCTCTGACACATCACCAATATTTCTTTTTCTACTTGTATGACTCCCTTTAGCATGTGAATGTACTGAAATACCTACTATTTTAAAATAAGAAAGAGCTCTCCAACTATTGTCCCATTTTGCTGCTTCTCATACGTCAGAATTCATTTAAAATAGTCTGGACTTGACTCTAGTTCATCTCCTTCCACTCTCTCTAGAGACTACTCTATAGTCTGCCTTTTATCCCCTAAACTCCACCAACTGCTGTCATGGCCACCAACAACTTTCAATAGCTGAAATCGAATTCCCAACTCTCAATCTGCATCCTTTGCCACCTCACAGAAGCATTTGACACAACTGGTTGCTCCTTTCTTGAAACACTTTCTTCCCTTGGCTTTTAAGAGTCCAGGCCCTCTTGATTTTCTTCCTATATCACCGATTACTAATTTTCTGTGTGCTTTATTTGTTCCTTCTTCATCTTCTCCATTTCTTTTTCTTTTTTAAAAGATTTATTTATTTATTTTTAGAGAGAGGGGAGGGAGGTAGGAAGAGAGGGAGAGAAACATTGATATGTGAGAGAAACATTGACTAGTTGCTTCTTGCATGCTTCAGCTGGGGACCTGGGCCACAACTCAGGCATGTGCCCTGACCAGGAATTGAACTGGAGACCTTCTGGTTTGTATGCTGACACTCAGTACACTGAGCCACACCAGCCATGGCTCTTTTCTCCACTTCTAAATGTTGAAGTGCTCTGGGGGGTCAGTGCTCTGACCTTTTCTCTGTCTTTAGTTACTCCTAGGGGATCTCATCCGGCAACATAATTTTAAATGCAGTAGATACACTGATGATTCCCAAATTTCATGTCTAGCCCTGATTTCACCTCTGAACTCTAGACTCATATGTTTAACAACCTACCTGGTATCTCCAATTGGAGGTCTCATTAGGTATCTCAGGCTTAGCAAGTCACAAATCTGATTTCAACTGTACATAGACCTGCAGAATCTTCCATCTTAGTAAATGGGAACTCCATACTTTTAGTTATTCAGAGTTAAAATATTGCAGTTATCCTTGACATCCATCTGTTTCTCACATTCTTCATTTAATGTATCTCTCTATATATTTTGAAAAGTATAGCCAACATACCACCTCCACCAAGTGATCATTTTCAGAAGATGAAAATAAAACTACTTGTAAAAGATAATAGCAAATAGGAAGTGAAATCCAAATTCCTAATCTCTAATCACAAATCCAATGTCATACATTTTTAACTGCTGTGTTATTTTTAAAACTAAATGTAGAAAATGAAAGAATTAGACAAACACATACATACACACGTATATACATACATATATACACACTTGCACATACACACAGAGCTTTTGCTTTTCTGGATATGTCAGTAATAAAAAGTATAAAATCAAGTAACCTTTGAATAGATTTTTAGATTAAAGAAACCCGTGGCTGCAGGCAAAACTATTTAGATTCTGGGCACTTTACTTAGATTTAGGCTGCTGCAACATTAATCTGACAAGGTATTAATCTCAACCCATGTAACAATTTAAATTGCCTTTAATGTGCCAGCACTTATACATTTCTCCATGATATAGTGGGAATTCACTAGGAGGTGTCTGCCAAAGAGAGAAAGTAAAGCCCCAACATGGTAAAGTTGTTTCTAATAATGAAGCCATCTTGGGGAGGGAGGAGCAGGGGAGTGGTAGGGTATTCCTTGACTAAATGTGAGTTAGGGAGGCAATGAATTAAGTGGGGAAAGCAAAAATTTTCATTCAAAAGCATATAAAATAATCAGATATAAGGGAAAAAAGAGAAAAGCAAACCATTTCCACACTGCTTTAGGGGAAAAAAATTATGAATAAAGCCCTCCTTCTTATATCTAAGGAAATAAAAAACACAGCTATCAAATCCTCAATTTTTGCCCCCTTATTAAATTAAAATCCTCAACATTAAAGCCTTTAAACTAGTCACCTTCTCATAGTTCATTTCCCAGGACATCATGGAACTGCCCCCTTACCAGAGCCAGGCTGCGCTTTTTTTGTGTTGCACCTCCTCAGCGCCTTCTTTTCCATGTTTTAACTGCAACTCCAGCTCTGCTATTCTTCCCTGTGAAAAACACAGCATAAATCAGCATGCAAACTCTATGGCCAAAATTATCTTAAAATTTCTTTGGAAAACACAAAGATAACAGATCTAACCTTTCCCAATTCACCTTAAGTATTCCCAATAGGTTATTAAATTATACATGAGGATGTGTGAGCGAGATAATTACATCACCGCTCAGAAGCATATCCTGGAGAAGCTGTTGTTTGACAAATTTAGCGCAGAGCACTTCATTTTGGTTTATCTATTAAAAGCAGAGTTTAATTTCATAGGTCCCATTTCAAAAAATCTCCTGTACAGCAATGATCAGCTCATGTCCATAGCTAATAATTTTAACTGACACTATCCCAAGATTGGGGTCTGGGTACCAGTATCATAACAGAATAGTAGAATATGAGCAGGATGGTATATAACATTTATGATTCAGGTAACATATAACAAAAGTTATTTTCAAACAGCTGTACATTAGATTTCTATTTCTCCAGTGAACATATAAAATAGATGTTATAATGCTTAACCTCTTCCATGTATTAGAAATATAATATCATCCCTTTAAAACCAAGACCTTCAAATATTTATTATCCTTTTTACACTCAGAATTATTTTGATCAGATACTTTCCCTTCCACTCAATCACCAGTTATGTTATTTAAATGTAATTAAAATACTGGTTTATTGGTGAACCCTAAACTGGATAAGAACTTAGATTGTATATTATGTTGGGTAATATCAAACCATTTTCAGAAGTGGTAGTACAGTTTACAGTCTCACTAGCAGTAAGAGTTCTAGTTACTTCACATCCTCACCAACATTTGGAATTGTCAGGCTTTTTAATTTTTACTATTCCTGTGAGTATGAAATGGTGTTAATTATGGTTTTCATTTTCATTTCACTGTTTACTAAGGAGATGGTGCATCTTTTTAAATGTTTATTGACCATTTGGGTTTCCTATTCTGTCCATTTTTCTATAGGCTGTCTTTTCTTATTGATTATAGAGTAAGGTATGTTCTACAGAAGAAAGGTGTATAGGTCTATATATACCCTAGAGAAGAAAGCAATATAGCTTGGAGAGTTAAGGCTATGGAATCAGAATCTAATGCCATTTCCACTTAGTTGAAGTATAAACTTGGGCAAGTTACTTCACTTCTCTAAGCTTCATTTCCTTATTTATAAGATGTAGTTAACAACTATCTCACAGTATTGAGTATCATATTAAATAATATGGAAAATGGTCTATTTAATACAGTGCCTGATAACAAATAATAACTACCTTTACCAGGTTCATTGTCAATAACAACAAAAAAATCCCATCTCCCCTTACAATCTTCTTACAAAACATTCTTTCATGAATATATCGAAATCCTTCATAAAATAATTTGTATTTTCATCTCTATACCCTTAGAGAGCAAAAGGTCCCCCAAAATGTAATATCCAGATTATACAGTTGCATGTCCCTTTATTTTTCTTTGTACATAATAGCACAACCTCTGGCACACAATGCCCTGGGCCTCACCAGTTGGGGCTCTCGGAGACTGGATGGGCATTCTCTTCACATTCTTCATAGTTTCCATTTACTTCAATCATACCCATGCCCATCTCCCTGTGCTCAAAGATAGAATCCCGGTCCTTTCGTTTTTCTTAAATTATATTTTTTATTCTTTTCCCCCCCTTATCTGTTTGAGCAAGATACTGATATTAATATTTAATGTTGATACTGGCCTCCTAGGAGGGTAGGCAAAATAGAAAATAATTGTTATTGTCTGTCTTTATTTGTAATGCTTCTTAAATTGTGCTTCTTTCTTCCTAAAACACTTATTTTCCATAATGCTTTTCAAAAAAAGGAATAGGAAATTAAAAGGTTCAAATCAGTTTAGAAATATAACACAAAAAACTAGTACACATGCAGCCTCTTGAGAAGGCCTATTTTTCTAATTGCTCTTGTAGTCATGAATTTGTACAATCATTCTGTTGTGACCAAGTAAATATTTTTTCTTTCTCAGGGTCTCTGTTCCTCTCAATTCCCTCTTCTTGAATGTCTCTAACCCCTTCCACCCAGTCCATGTTAGGCTATTTATCCAGATGTACTTTGCCTTCCAACTCTCTGCCTAATGGTAACAGAGACCCAGTGGTGGCATTCAACTCAGTCACCTCTGCTTCTGGTTAACAGCTATGGTTAAGGCTGGAAAGCACTCATGGGAACACAAAAGGATGAAATGATCACCTCAACTGAGAGTTTTGGATTGCCTGGAGATTCCAATTCTTAATCTATCAATCCCTCTTACTTAAAAAAAAAAAAAAAAAAAGAAAGAAAGAAAGTCCAGCCTATAGAACAGCTTACTGGTTATAGTGAGCAAGTTCACCTAGCTCCAAATCTATACATTAGAAACAAACAACCCACCCTACAAACTGGCCAGAGAGTAATTTACTAGGGTCAGAGAGTGATTTACTAGGGGTCACAGTTCTGACCCTGGTTTTGATTTCAGATTATTTTGTAGCTAGTTGACTGACTCAGGAAACAAGTGTCTACAGTCAACCTGCTTTAACTCCTCTCTCCTGTTTGAGGTCATATTCAAAATCCCTATGAGCCCTTTATATAAAATCTGGAGACCTTAACCTTCTCTGCATCCCACAAGAGCAGGAAGGTGAAGACAGCCGTAAAGGCCTCTTTATCAAAATGGACTCTGAACTGTCAATCAACTTGTATCTGCATTTTTTTCTTCTTAATGAGAAGAAATTAAAATTATTTCCCATGTCAAACACTTTGATATACTTATAATTTTAAATCCCACATTTTGTGGGGAAAAAATAAATAAGGCTGGAAGCAGACATCTAAGCAAAAGCCACCTGTAGTATTCAGAACTCAAACTTATTCATATCAAAATCAACCTGCAGAAAATAATGGAGAATGTACCCTTTAATGTGTCTCCTAGGCTTAACTGAATAACACGTGGTCCTCAGAATGATCCTCTAGTTTAGTGCAACAAAATATATCTAGCACCAGATGAGAAGGAACTATTAACTCCTGTGCAGAAGAAGTATCCTCCAGGACAGAAATTCTTGATATGGACAAGGAGTCTGGCAATTGTTCTCATTCTTCTAAGATCCACAGATTCTATGTGAGTGTGTGTAGTCATTTATAAAACTTGTTGAACATTTAAAATGCATCGGTGTACCTTCAAGTCATAGTGATAGCCTAGAAAGCATTGTTGTGTTTTCAAATAATACTGAAAATTTTATTATAGTTGACATTTTTTTTTTACTTTTATCACCAATTCTCAAGGGAACTGGATTTATTCAAAATTCAAAGACATTTTAAATGATAAAAAAAGATGTATACTATCACAACAGTAGAAAAGCAGCATAATTGACTTGCATTACTAAAAATACTCAGCTGGCTTTTAAAAAATAGGCTCCTTTAAAATATTAAAGCAATTTGCACTATCTGTTGTTACTACTAATGTGAGACATTATGTGTTAGGGAAAATGCATGATACAGTGGGAAAGGCTGGGTTTCTGGAGTCCAAAAGATTCCGGTTAATTTCCAGTTCTTTTATTTACTGACTGTTGGGTTTTGCACCATTTGCTTTGTTTTCCTAGCTAACCCTGTTTCCCTATTTCTAATCTCATTATATGTGGGGTTTACAATACCCACTTCAAAGGGTTTCTGTAAAGATTAATTGAAATCGTATATGGTAAGTATTGGACACACACTAGTTATTCAAAAAATACTATAAAGACAACCATAGAAGTTGTTTTCTTTTGTCAATTGCAAGTCATCTGCATGACTTATACCATAATTGTGTTCAATTTAGCCTTCCTTATGCTGAGAGCTAAATACAGTTCTCAGGTATTGTACTGGGATTGCTAGTGGACAAGTTAGTCTCCCACAATGAACTGGGAGCTCACTGAGAGGAAGGAGTGCTTTATTCCTCTTGGTATCCCACATACCCAGCACAAGGCCTGGCCAGTAAAAAGCACTCCATAAATGTTTGGTGAAGGTAAACACTGCAAAATTACATAGAGAAAAATAAATGTGAGAAAAAGTACACAGTCTGACTTATGATTTCACTCAACTTGAATAAAAACTGTAATTGGTCAAGGGCATATATGAGTAATGCACTCATTCACTCATGCATCTATTCAAAACTGAGTGCCTAGATGCAGCTGAGGATAAAAAAGTGGGTAAGCTGAGAAAAAGGAAACCATCGTTCCAAGGGAACATCTTTAAAATGTGGATTTCGGTATGGTTTGGGGAATCATCTAAAACACAGATGCTCAGAATGTGGTTGATACACTGAGTTAAAGTTAGCTGGCAGCTTGGTAAACATGGAGATTCCTGGTCCCCCCACTCAGTTCTAATGACTAGGAATCTCTGAAGATGCATCAGTACTTTATAAAATCTAGACTCAATAAAATATGTTGCAGTAAGGTTTTCAGATGAGAGCACCGATGCTCAGGTGCTTAGTCATTTCCTATGACCCTCCCGCCCTACCTCCCACCATCTTTTAGGACAGTTGTTACCTTTGACCATAGCACCTGAGACTCCATGAAAATCTGATTCTGGGCCATAAATTACTTAAGTATCATCAGATTTTTGTTCTAGCATTCTTAAAAATGAATTTTAAGCTAGGAAAAATAATTGTTAGTTGTTTTCCTATATTGTTAACTGTTTATATATTCCCAAACTGATTAAAAATTATTTCTAATTTTAAAAAATCTACAAACTGTAAGTTATAATATTATTGGATTAAATAAAGTCAAATTGAGTATAATTCATTTATTTATGGAGCACCTATGGTGTTTTAGATACTACAACAGGTTCTAGAGACAACAGAGCTCCTCCTTCTAGGAGCAGAGACAAGAGGGAAGCCCCAGACAAGTAACTAAGTTGATAAAGCCTTCAAAAAGAGAAGCATGTATTCTAAGGAAGCACACACGAGCAACATAAAATCCAGTTGGGGGTAGAGGGTGCACACACTGGTTCCTTCTCAGATAAAATGGTCTAAAGAACAAGTAGCAATTAGGTGCGCAAAGAGGGAATGGCAGTACCTGCACCAGAAGAAATCATGAGTCAATGTCAGGAGATTAGGAGAGACTTGCTGAGTGTGGAAAACAAAGAAATTTAGCAAGGATGAAACACAACATTTAGAGGAAGGATAATAAGATAAGGCTGGAGATGTACGCAAGCCCCACTTGAGGAGGCGGGGGCAGACAGTGACCTCAGTTTGAGATGAGTTCAAGTTGAGGTGCTATGGGACATCCAAGGGGGACATGTGGGATATCAGGGAGATGTTCGGAAAGCAGCGTGATGTAGGACAGCAGTGCTCAAGGGGGAATTCTAGATGGGACACAGGGTGGGAAGAAATCAACATTTAAAACTGAAATAAAAAAATAAAGCGATTATTCATGGATAAAAAAAATTTAAGTGCATTATATACATTTATGCCTTACATTCTTTTATCTGCAATTATAATCATTGCATTTTTCATAGTGCTATTTTCCTAAGTGATTTTTTTTTTTATTTAATACATATTTGCAGTAACATCTGAGAGAAGGAGCCACTCCCCTGAAACAAATCATCCTATGGTTTCATTACCTGTAAAATGGCATGATAAGCTCGAGTCATATATGCAAGCCACGCCTGTGGGAGAAAAATGGCCCGGTGCCACTCCGAAAGTTGGATGTGAACCTGTGGGAAAGATGTACCATACCACGAGTTAGACTACACGGTATTAAAGCAGTAAAATTAAACCATATCATCAATTCTTTCTTTCCCCTTAAGTAAATGGTTTATGTTCTGAAGCAAACCAAATCAGTCTAGGATCAAAACCACAAATAAGGTCTTTGAATATTTTCAAAGGAGAAGAGCTTAGAGTCCTGTAAAGACAAAATAAAATAAGCCTGAAATTTTCTAAATTAAAGCAAATAGAATCTTACAATAATAACAAGTTAAGATGTATATGTAATACAAATATGTCCCTGAAAATTAGGGAGAAACTCTGCAAATCCTCTTGCCAATGTCAGGAAACGAGGTATTGTCTAACAAATCTCCCTAGTAATTTTAAATAAAAATAAATATTGCTCACATCCTGGATTTCACTCTGACAATTTCTGAAGTAATAAACCTAAATTGCCAACAGAAATATCATGTTGTGTAGAAACCATGATGGTAAGAGCATGCAAATGAGCACTGCACTCAGCAATTGTGCACACCACCATATAAATGCCCTTTAATCAGTGTGGGTAAACAAGCGAAAAATGAAATAGGCCAACACTGAAACCGTGTTTCTGAACGAGGCCCAGATACAACATCTGGTTTTCATAGTCATTTCTGTTTCTACCTATTAGTATACAGCTATCTTGCAACAAATCTTCCCAAGGTCTGCTTCTGTTAAAGAAAGATCACTCCAGAAAAACAGTCACAGTACATCACATTTCATGTTTCCTCAACTCATCACACTCAAACAACAAAAACTTTAGTCTGTGTCCTATAGATTAAAAAAAAAATCACCCAAATTTTTATATAAATACCCCAGAATCATGAAAACCAGAGTGCTTAAGGAGATTTTATTGTATTATAAGAAGTAATTTTCTCAATTGCTCTGCGATAGGGAAGAGAACAGCCTCTCTGAATAGATCTGGTTCCCTTGGCCTCTGGTGTTTAATTCCAGTCTTAGTGTAGGCCTAGTACACACAAGGCATTATGAGAAAATATAAAGAATATCAGCTGATCTGGGTCGTCACAGAGCTTTCTAGTGTGAGAATCAGAAACAGGCGCAAATAGATTACAAGGCAAAATTATGAAGACGCTATGGGAAGAAAGAGAACAAAGATTAATTCTGTCTGCTACCTATCACCTCTCAATCCACTGCTGTATTTTAAAGAATTAGATACTCCAATAGCATAAAAAAGGGACTGGAGCCATGAAATAAACTTTAAAAAATGATAAAGACAGGTTTCTTCCTTTTCCAATTAAGTACTCTCTCTGTTGAGGAGGGTACGGCATGCCTTGTCAATATGTTACTAAACATCCTTGAGAAACAGGCCAGCCGAGGCCACATTCAAGTTGGGAGGCACTAATTAGTCAGTCCTTGGTTCTTGTCCTTTGTTACCAAAATGGGAGGTATTTTCTCCTATCAATTCTGTTCCCTTTTCATAAACTATATTACTATCTCTAAGTTGCATTTTGAGATCTGGTTTTACGAGAAAGCACACTCAAACACCACAACCAAAACTTTTATCTCTTATGTGAGAACTTCAAAATATTAAAAATTTTCCTGCCAAGTACTGTAATTTATGGACATCATTACCAATGCACTACTGAGGTGATCCACAGCCTCAGCAAACTGGTAATAAGAGCACTAAATGTTTTTGGAAAGACAATGGTCTCAATTGGTTCTTAAACATGAGTTAAAAAAAGAAAGCATTATGGAAAAAAATATAAAGGAAAATGAGCAAATCAAATGTTGAGCTTCTAAGAACAAAGACAGTCATTCCAGGAAATCCATTTAAAAGGAAGTTATAAACTGAAGGTTAAAGCCAATCCTCCTCCTGCTGCTCCAACCACATGTGAAGGCAGTACAGGCACACGGTAGAACACTTGAGCCTCAGCATCAGCCTGCACTCCTTTGTTTAATGAGATTATACCTAGTCTTAGTGTTCTACGGAGTTAGCTGTGAACAAATCTCTTTAAAGAAGCATTTTCTCGCTCTTTTTCTTACTGAAGAGAGATTTAAGGAAACAGCTTGAAGACAGTTACCACCCACACTCCAGTAGTATTACAGGCAAAAGAAGAAGCTATTCCAATTCAATACAGAGCTACCCATAAAGGTAAATGTTACTAGGCTGGAAAATACAATTCCCATTTTTAAAGTATGAAAATTATGTATAATTTGCATTACTTGTGAGAAGCCCTTGAAGTAAACTCATCAACAAAATAATTTCAGCCCTGACCAGTGTGGTTCAGTGGATTGACTGGGTGTCATCCTGCAAACAGAAAAGTTACTGGTTCCATTTCCAGTCAGGGCACACACTTGAGTTGTGGGCTAGGTCCCTGGTTGGCGGTGTGTGAGAGGCAACCCATCAATGTTTCTCTCTCATATCAATGTTTCCCACCCTCTTTTTTTCTCTCCCTACCCCCTCTCTAAAAATAAATAAAATCTTTTTAAAAATTTTTAAAAATCATGAAGTTGCAACCTTGTTATTCAGCAGATGATAAAACAGTCTTCTCAATCACTGTGCATCAAGTTTTAAGGACCATGTGAAATTTACTTTCTCTGTAACTAACTACACATACAGCTGCAATGACAGGTGTCTGGTCGACTTGAGATGGGTATGTCTTATGCTTCGAAGAAGAGTAGAGTTTCTATGTGTAAGAGTAGTAAGTACAATGAAATGTTATGCATACGCCTCAAAAAGAGAACACATTGGGGAAACATGCAAATAATGTAAGGGAGAGAAGAATGCTCCTGAGGAAAGGGTGGAGATGGAGCAGGTAACAGACTTAAACAGGGTGGTCAGAATAGATCTCATAGAGAAGGTCAAGTCTGAGTAAAAATCAGAAGGAGGTGAAGATGTAAAAACCAAGGTATGTGCTAGTGGGAATGTAAAATCGTTCAGCTGCCATAGAAAACAGTTTAGTGGTTCCTCAAAAAGTTAAAGACAGAATTACCATACAACACATCAATTCCACTACTAGATATATACCCAAGAGAAATGAAAACATGTATTCAAATACTTGAACATGACTGTTCATAGCAGCACTTTCAAAATAGCCAAAAGGTGAAAATAACATAAAGGTTCATGAATGAATGAATGGATAAACAAAATACAGTATATTGACAGTATAATATTGTTCAGCCACAAAAGGGAATGAGGCGCTGATGCATATGCTGCAGTGCAGATGACCCTTGAAAACATTAGGCTAAGGGAAAGGGCCCAGACACAAAAGATCGCCTATTGCATGATCCCATTTATATGAAATATCCAGAAAAGGTAAATCCATAGGGACAGAGACAAATTAGTGGTTTCCAGGGATGGGGATGAAGGAGGTCAGAGGCTAGAAAAAGAAAGTAGGGAGAATGGGGAGTGATTGCTTAATGGATACACATCTCATGTGAGGGTGATGAAAACGTTTTTGAACTAGATAGATGTGACAGTGTATATTGTGAATGTACTAAATGCTATATGTTGTAAACTTTAATGTGGTTAGTTTTATATTATGTGAATTATTGTTCAATGGAAAAAAAAGATAAGGCAAAGGTCCTAAAGTGAGCACAGCACATGGCTGATCTACTGGAGAACAGAAAGAAGGCCAATATCAACAGCACAGAGGGGAACAGAAAGAGAATAGGCTGGTGAATTAGCAGGGGGCCCGGAGAATTCAGGGTCTTCTAGGTCGTTTTTCAGGACCTGCCTTTATTCTTACTAACGAGGGGCTATTAAAGAATTTTGAGAAGTAGGAGGATATCACCTGATCTATTGTAAAGGAATCATGCAGATGAGACGATAATAGTAGGGGGCAAAGGTCAAAGTGAGGAAACCTACTCAGAGGCTACTGCAACAATCCAAGTGAGAGATACTGGTGGCTCAGAGTTGTAACAGTAGCCTTGTAGAATAATAGTTTTCAAATATTTAGCTATATGAGTTTTTCCACCCCACCCAAAATGTTAAGGAAAATGCCAATATATAAAACGGAAAACAGAGAATTCAATCTTGTCCAGATGAAGTCAGGGCAAAGCGTTGGGACTTGGCCCTCAGCTCTCTTGATCATCAGACCCTAGCTTGTGGTGGCCCCTAGGACTCTTTAAAACAGTTTAACTAGGAGGACATAAAAGAGATCAGTGGTTATAAGTAGACAGAGGAGGGGAACGGGGCTGACTACAAAGGAGCATGGAGAATTTTTAGGGTGAGAAAACTATTATCCTGACTGTGGTACTGGTTACACAAATGTGCGTACTTGTTAAAATTCATAGAACTATACACTAAAAGGCATAAAACTTAGTGTATGTATATTATACCTCAATAAAAATAAAATTAAAAATACATCACTTGAAATCACTATTTTTAGAACATGTAATTCCCACCCAGACACCTCCCACCATCTATTATTATCCACTGTACACTTCTTTGTCATCATCATTCAAAACCCACTCTTGCGCTCTTCCTTCTTTTTTCTATCAATATTACCCATCAATTTCCTAGTCACACAAGATTAAAACTTCTGATTTTTTCTGGGCTTCTTTCTTTCCTCTAACTCAACGACCAAGTCTACCTCTGAAATGTTTATTATATTTGTCCCTACTTCCGTCCTCATTGGTTTAGTCCTAATTCCTACCTAGATTACTGAGGTCACCTAATTAATCTCCTAACAGATTAAAGTCTTTCCTCCTTCTTTTTTATCTTCACTGAAAGAGATGTTTATTGATTTGAGAGAGAGAGAAACACTAATAGGTTGCCTCTCATAAGTGCCTGACCGGGGATTGAACCCACAACATTTTGGTGCATGGGATGACGCTCCAACCAACTAAGCCACCCAGCCAGAGCCCTTCCTTCTTCTAGTACACCCTAAATGGTGCAGCTACTATCACATTAACTCAGAACTTTGTTTCAAAAACCTTGGTGGTTCTTAAAGAATAAAGTTCAAACTCTTTTGTACTATGTTCAAAGATTTTTAGACTCAAAAGCGCA